CAATGGGACAATAAAAAGTAATATTAAGAAATGTAATTAGTGTTATTAGATCAATTTTGACAGCTTTAGTAAAGAGACATCAAAAATCTGGTGAGGCTTTTAAGAACCAGGGGTGGACTTCAAAAATTTTAGCAATTGGTTCTCTGCCGAGTGGGCATGGCCATGGTGGGCATGACCAAGTCAGCCTCTTGCACCATGGTGGGGGGCATTTTTGCCGTCCCCGGGTTTTGGAGGCTTTCCTCAAGCCTCCAGGAGGGTGAAAATGGCCTCCCCGGGATCCATAGGCTCTCTGGAAATTGGAAAAAGGCCCATTTCCGGCCTTCTGAACTTCTGGCATGTGCCCTGCACTTACCTACATCCAAAATGGGCCACGTGAGAAGTCCTGGGAGGGCAGGAGGGGGGGCCAGCCAAGAGTGTGAATTGAGGTTTCTCTAAACTGCACAGAATCTTAGCTAGGGGCTCTCCCAAATTCCTGTGAACCCCCAGCATCCCACCCCAAAAAAGACTGGACAGCCATTTGTCTGGAATGATGTAGGATTTCCTGCTTGAGCAGGGGGTTGGACTAGAAGACCTCCAAGGTCCCATAAAACTCTGATATTCTGTTATTAAACAGACTTCTGACCAGTTTACTTGCTTGACTTCATTTTCTCTGATAGGGTCTTAATGCCCACTAGATCTGGCAGGGTCCAGGGTGGGACCAATACAGGATGGGTCCAATCTATACAAGATATATTCAAATATTTGACAGGTCTTTACTTAATGTCTGTGGAGATTCTCAGGCCTCCAGGTAGATGGTTCTCCCAAAAGTGATTTTTCAAGAGGCAAATGGATTTTCAGGAGAAGTTCTCCCTCCAGCTGAATTCTGTCACAGCTGCAGACTCATCTGTGTATTTTTGTGCCTGAGATTACACAATGAGACAGGATCTATATGGACTGTGTAAAAAAAAAAGAATTTGTATTCACAAAGTATAATGCCAAGTAAATGGAGAAAGAGGAAGAGAGGGAGGAAAGAAGAGGGAAATTATTGACCAAACAACGTAAACTAATCTTATTTTGAGAAATGTAATTAGAATAGAATAGAACAGAATAGAACAGAATAGAAAATAGAACAGAACAGAACAGAACAGAACAGAATAGAATTCTTTATTGGACACAGAAGGAATTTGTCTTTGGTGCATATGCTCTCAGTGTACATAAAGAAAAAATAAAATACGTTCATCAAGAATCATAAGATACAACACTTAGTGATAGTCATAGGTTACTAATAAGCAATCAAATCATACTAGGAAACAAATAAAACAATATAAATTGTAAAATACAAGCAACACAGTTATAGTCATAAGTGAGAAGAGATAGTTAATAGGAAGGATGAGAAGAATAGTAAATAAATTAGTAAATAAATTAGTTTTATTAGATCAATATTGACGTAGCTTTATAGAGACATATCAGAAGTCTGGTGAACATAGATTTATACTAGTTTCCTTTTCAAGTAGAAGAGGCTGAAAGTACTTCAATTATTAAATCTTAATTATTATCATCACTTTCACAGTTTTGCAGACAAGAGAAATGGGAAATGGCTTACTCAGGTATACTCCAATATGCCCTTTCCTTCCTCTATCTTCTGAAAAAACTGGGAGGACACTGAATAGCCATCAGTTTGAACTGGAGAAAGTTTCTAAGATCCACATTCTAGACTAAAGAAATTAAATTTTTAATGAATATCATAAATAAAGTTCGACTCTTTTTCTATCCCAGATCAGTGGAAATGTATTTGGTTTTACTAGTATTTTCTTAAAAGAAAATGTTAATATCATTCTCAGTTTAGGAGTCCTTTACATCCATACCTTAAAATGGTCAACTATACTGCTCAAAAAAATAAAGGGAACAAAAAAATAAGACAATAATAATAAGACATCCTAGATCTGAATGAATGAAATATTCTTATTAAATACTTGTTCATTACATAGTTGAATGTGCTGACAACAAAATCACACAAAAATTATCAATGGAAATCAAATTTAGCAACCCATGGAGGTCTGGATTTAGAGTTACATTCAAAATTAAAATGGAAAAAAAACACTACAGCCTGATCCAACTTTGATGTAATGTCTTTAAAACAAGTCAAAATGAGGCTCAGTAATGTGTGTGGCCTCCACGTGCCTGTATGACCTCCCCACAATGCTGGCATGCTCCTGATGAGGTGGCGGATGGTCTCCTGAGGGATCTCCTCCCACACCTGGACTAAAGCATCCCCAACTCCTGGACAGTCTGTGGTGCAACGTGGCATTGGTGGATGTCCCAGATGTGCTCAATTGGATTCAGGTCTGGGGAATGGGCAGGCCAGTCCATAGCATCAACGCCTTTGTCTTGCAGGAACTGCTGACACACTCCAGCCACATGAGGTCTAGCATTGTCATGCATTAGGAGGAACCCAGGGCCAACTGCACCAGCATATGGTCTCACAAGGGGTCTGAGGTTCTCATCTCGGTACCTAATGGCAGCCAGGCTACCTCTGGAGAGCACATGGAGGGCTGTGTGCACCCCCTAAAGAAATGCCACCCCACACCATAACTGACCCACTGCCAAAATGGTCATGCTGGAGGAAGTTGCAGTATGTGCTCAGTATGAACCTGTTTTCATCTGTGAAGAGCACAGGGTGCCAGTGGCAAATTTGCCAATCTTGTTGTTCTCTGGCAAATGCCAAATGTCCTGCACAGTGTTGAACTGTAAGCACAACCCCCACCTGTGGACGTTGGGCCCTCATAACACCCTCATGGAATCTATTTCTGACTGTTTGAGCAGCCACATGCACATTTGTGTCCCACTGGAGGTCATTTTGCAGGGCTCTGGCAGTCTTCCTCCTGTCCCTCCTTGCACAAAGGCGGAGGTAGCAGTCCTGATGCTGGGTTGTTGTCCTCCTATGGCTTCCTCCATGTCTCCTGATGTACTGGCATGTCTCCTGGTAGTGCCTCCATGCTCTGGACACTATGCTGACAGACACAGCAAACCTTCCTGCCACAGCTCGCATTGTTGTGCCATCCTGGATGAGCTGCACTACCTGAACCACTTGTGTGGGTTCTAGACTCCATCTCATGCTACCACCAGAGTGAAAGCACTGCCAGTATTCAAAAGTGACCAAACCATCAGCCAGAAAGCATTGGAACTGAGAAGTGGTCTGTGGTCACCACCTGCAGAACCACTCCTTTATTGGGGATGTCTTGCTAACTGCCTATGCTTTCCACCTATTGTCTATTCCATTTGCACAACAGCATGTGAAATTGATTGTCAATCAGTGTTCCTACCTAAGTGGACAGCTTGATTTCACAGAAGTGTGATTGACTTGGAGATACATTGTATTGTTTAAGTGTTCCCTTTAGTTTTTTGAGCAGTGTATCAAGCAGTGGACATTGTAACTCTCTTTGGCTCAGTTCCAGGCAGAGACTTTCACAGGTAAAGTGGTGATTTCATTGACTTCATTGACTTTTGTAACTTTTTCAAAGTTACACCCCTCAAACAAGCCTATGTCATTCTACCACAAAACAGTAAGTTCAAAACCCAAACCTACTTCCCTCTCTCCCTTAAAACAAACAAACAAACCTAGGAATTTGGTTGACAGGACTGCATTCATTCCCCTACTTTTACTTAAATAATTGAATGGAAGGATCTAAGGATTCACCAGGAATTGAATTCACCTTCTAATGCAATAGAGATACATAGGTGGAAACTCACAGAAATCACAAGGTCTAGATCAAGGAGAGATTTAGCCTGGAAATAAGAATAAATTTTCTGCAATCAACCAATGGAACAACTTGCCTTCAAAGTTTGTGGGAGTTCCATCACTGGAGGCTTTCAAGAAGAGACTGGACTGCCATCAGTCAGAAATGGTGTAGAGTCTCCTGCTTGGACAGGGGTTGGACTGGATGATCTCCAAGGTCCCTTCTAACTCTGTTAATCTGTTAAATCTGATCTGAGTGGCTTCACAGTCAAAAAGCAAATAAAAACATGTTGGAGAGGGAAGAATTGCCCTTGAGAAGCTTGAAATGAACATCTTGGTCATTATTTTCACCTCTAACATGTCATCATTCATTTCAGTCTAAGATTTTGCATCTACGATGCTTTCCTCCAATCAAAATTAAACCACATTAGCCCTTGTCATGTTTTTTCCCTCGATTAAATTTGAATCCTGGATTTTTTTCCCTTTCTTTTTGGTTTAGACGGATTTTGTTCCTTCTCTGTCCCAAATTCTTCTGCAAGGGACCATTCCTCTTGATTGTTTCTTTACACATCTATTTCTGGTGTTATTTCTTCACCTCCTCATATAATGTCCTTTTTTAAATTCTTCTAGAACCAATAAGTTACTCAAGAGTTAAGGTACTTGGTGCAAAATATGGCATACCCTCTTTGTAGAATAAATTAGCAATTAGTTGTCAATTCCTCTGGATATTAATGATATAATTAATGAGGGCTCAAATTGATGTATGAGAAGCCAACATTGTTTTCTATTTGACATTTAATTTTGGGGAATAGGGAATAAAAAAATCCTTAATTCATATCATTGAACATTTAGGTTTTGCAAAAGCCTAAACAACAAGACGAGGAGGGCACAAAATTCTGTCTTCGGTTCACTGATACTACATATTACCATATCCAAAAATTGTTGCAAGATTTCATTTTAACTAGAAATGCTTCATACAAATGGCATAGAAATACCTAGGGAATGGGCATTCATAAGAAATGGAGGAATACTTGTGTCCCATCATGTCAAAGCTTCTCCTTAAAAGAGCAACAACCAAAATCTGATCCCAGTTATAGTGACAGACTGAGGACTGTCTCATCCAGATGCACTTTATCTTGTTTATAAAAAAAATGTCTATTAGATTTGAATGCACTTATGGACTTCATCTCATATTTATACAACTCCTGGTAGGATTTATGCAAAGCCAGCATGACTTTCACTTCCTATTTAAACTGCCATTCACCTTCTTCAGGCTCATCTCAAAACTCATCCCTCCAAACATCTTCACAATGGCACCCCACTTTTTGATTCTCGTCATGCTGGCTGCCTTGTTGAAAGGTTTGTAGCTTGGACCATGTTAAGCATTTTTCACATTCAAAGGAAATTTCATCTATTAATCATGGCACCTATTTCCTAACTATTATCCAATTGTCTTTGGTATTTTTTTATTAGGTGGCCTCTCCCAGATAGTCCTGACCCAATCAGATCCAGTGCTGAAGAAACCAGGAGAATCCCACAAACTGGCTTGCGCTGTCACTGGATTCAATGTTAACAGCTACAATATGTATTGGGTCAGACAGAAACCTGGCCAAGGACTAGAATGGATTGTTTACTATTACTCATCCAGTGACAACTCTTATTCACCGACAATCCAAGGATGGTTTATTGCCTCCAAGGACAGTTCCAACTTCTATCTGCAAATGAACAACCTAAAAGCTGATGACACAGCTGTCTATTACTGTGCAAGCGACACAGTGAAATAGATCTTAAGGGATCTCATGCAGAAACCTTTCCTGAAAAGTGTTTTGACAGGGGACACAAAATAAACCCCAAAATAAGTTGTCTAATCATCTCGAACAAAATGACTTAAGCAGAGAAGGGATGGAACTGAAAAGACAAAACAAATAAATCCCAAAATATATTATTACACCACAATTTTTATGGTTGAACATCTTTCACTCATTGGTTTCTAACTATTTTGCTGTGGTTTCCTAAAGGTTCTTCTTCGAGGGCCAAACGACATCACACAAGATGCTTCTTTCTCTCTTCAGGGGTTCAATGCAGAAAGATTCCTGGTATTTCCTCCATGAGAAGCCATATTCTTCATTAAATATTTATTTATTTATGTATTTATTTATTTTGTCAAGCAATTATAAGGTAACAGGTATAAGTATAAACATACTTATGAATACATGAAATGGATATACATATATAAGAAAAAACAAAACAAAACAATAGGACAAGGATGGTAGACATGTTGGTGCGCTTATGTACACCTCCTACAGGCCTCTTAGGAAAGGGGTGACGTCAATAGTGGACAGTCTAAGATTTAAGTTCTTGGAGTTTGGGGAAAAAACCACAGAGTCAGGTAGAGTATTCCAGACATTGACCACTCTGTTGCTGTCATATTTCCTGCAATCAAGTTTGGTATGGTTTACCTTGAGTTTATATTTATTGTGTGCTCTTGTATTGTTATGGTTGAAGCTGAAGTATTCATTGACTGGTAGGACATTGTAATATATAATTTTATGTACTATACTTAGATCGGACTGAAGGTGACGTAGTTCTAGATTATCTAGGTTTAAAATTTCAAGTCTGGTGGCATAAGGTATTCTGCAATGAGTAGAGGAGTGGAGTACTCTTCTTGTGAAATATTTGTGGACTTTCTCAACTGTATTAATATCAGATACGTAGTGTGGGTTCTAGACTGATGAGCTGTATTCGAGTATTGGTCTAGCAAATGTTTTGTATGCTCTAGTTAGTAATATAATATTACCAGAGAAAAAAACTACATAAAATTAGGTTAACAACTCTTAATGCCTTTTGGCTATGTATTTACAGTGGGCTCTAGCACTTCAATCATTAGAGATGAGAACTCCAAGGTCCTTGACAGAATTTGGATCATCAACAAGGTCTTGACTATTCAGCTTGAATTTTATTTTCTGATTTTTTTTTTTTTTGCCAATATGTAAGACAGAGCATTTATTTGTTGAGATTTGAAGTTGCCATTTGTTTGACCATTCTGATACATAGTCGAAGTCTTTTTGAAGGTAGAAGTATTGAATGGTGGTGTTGAATAGCTTTACATCATCAGTGAAAAGAACGCAGTTGCTCCTAATATGATCACAGAGGTCATTTATGTAGAGTATGAAGAGAGTTTGTCCTAGAACACTGCCTTGGGGGACACCACTGTTGATAGGTGCAGAATTTGATAGGATGCTCCCAATTTTGACCATTTGTTGTCTGTTTGACAGGAATGCTTCTAACGAATTGTGCAGGTGTCTGGAGATACCATAAGATTTTAGTTTTAGGAGTAGTTTGTCATGTACCATTGAATCAAAGGGTTTACAGAAGTCTGTGTAGATTGCGGCTATTACTTTGCCCTGATCAAGTTGTGTAGTCCATATGTTTTTGCAGTGTAAGACTTGCAGATTACAGGATAGTTTTTTTTTCTGAAACAAATTGTTTATTAGAGAGCAGGTTGTTTGTCTCTAAGTGGAGGATAATGGATTGGTTAATAATTGATTCCATGACTTTACAGATGATGCAGCATAAAGAGATTGGTCTGTAATTTTCAACTAGGCTGGTGTTTCCCTTTTTGAAGATGGGGATGACCATGGCTTGTGATCATAGGTTTGGCAAGGAGCTGGTCCTGAAGGATTTTTCAAAGATTATGCTTAGGGGTTCGGCTATGGTAGTGGATAGGTTTTTTAAGAAGTAGGCACATACTCCGTTTGGTCCAATAGATGGAGATGGTTTTAGATGGTTATTTTAAATATTTAAATAATACATATTTTGAATTGTATGGAATCTCCTTTCCTGCTATTTTTCCCAAATCAAGTTCTATTTTGAGAAGATGTTAGATACAACAAAGTATAAATGAAAGGCAAGCAGTATGTGTTCCATATTAGCATACTTGAAATACCCTCTTCTGATTGGAGAACAGACACTGTACGATGATTGGTTCAAATACTCCATTATAATTGGTTTGCTAAAAATCGCCCATGATTGGCACGGCTGATTGCAGGAGATTCAAAGAATTGTCATTGGTTGCGAGCCATGGGAAATCCCTATAAAAAAGGGCTGCCGCGGCTCCAAGATCTTGTACAGGGCTAAATAAAGAAGTAAGAGCTGAAAAGTCACACTGGTCTCAAGTCTCTTTTCCTGCGATTGAACACTGGCAACGAAGGTGGGATCCAGAGACAAAGGAGACCAGTCAAGCATGTGGCAACCAGGACTGACCAACCGACGAGATGGCCAGCAGCAACTCACCACCCGCACCATTCGACCAAGTAGCAGAGGACTGGGAATCATATATTGATCAGTTCCTCATGTTCCTCAAAAGCAACAACCTACAGGATGCAACCGACCAGAGGAAGAGAGCCACGGGCCCACAGTGTTCAAAATGGCCAAGGCATTGGCAAAGCCCCGGGATGTTAAGGAGATGGCATGGCCAGACCTGGACCGACTTGTTGGGTATATGGATACACCAACCAGGTTTGGGTTGAATAAATATG